GGCCACCGGCGCTATCGTTTTGTCGCGTGGCCGAAGATTCGAGGACCTGCAGCGCAGCTTTTTGGCGCAGTACCAGGCAGGGAGATGCCATGGCCTTTTCAACCAGCGGGGGATCCCTTTAAAGAAAAATGGTTGCGTGTTTTAGCCCATCCACTCAGGAAGTGAGCGGATCTTCGATTCGCCAGGTTGAGAAAGCTTCGCCAAATTGTTGTTGTTTCCACGGGCTCGGTTATAACCTACCGTTGCAACTTGGTGAATCGAACATCTCCAGGGTCCCTCAATCCATTGTTCTTTTCAGGGATCCTTGCCAAAGGCACCTAGGGCTGATTCTCCAAAAGGTTCCCTGGCCCCACAGAAGTGGGGGGCCCTTCATTCCCGGGAAACTGCCAGTATGTTGTTTGTCAACTTTAGGGGAATTCAAACGACTGATCGAACAAAGCGAATCGACCGACCAGATCTCACCTTTGGCTTCCCTGATTTCTCTTTGTGGTTCAACACATCGCCAAAACTGTTTGCTAGCCGTTGAGCACTGGAGGGTAAGTGTGGGCATGGAGTGTGTGGGATTTTGAACAGTTTGAGGGGCTCTCAGAATTGATGTTGTGGATGGTACGTTGAAAGGCCATTTGGATAACTTGGGTGTGTCCCTTTGGCGTTGTAGGAACCAAAAGCCCGGAAGGTGTCTAAACAGGAACCTATACTATGGCCTGGTCTCTAGCCGAATCTCCAACTAGCTGGTGTCCGCTGTTCCCCTTGAAACAGCCCGAGCACCTTCAATTTGGCAGACCGAAAAAGGAACCCTCATTTTCCCTTTGGCAGTTCTATTCTAATGGAACCTACCGACGACCCGCAAGAACCCAAAATCAAGTTGGAGTTCACCACCCATTTTGCGCAAAAGCCCATCTTGAAGTTGGCAGTTTGAGAGTCCAGGTTGACGTTTTCGGGTCGGGGCCCTAAAAAACTACCAACTTCAGCGAGTATTTCTTGGTCTTTTGAGGGTCCAGGCGGGTTTGCGGAGTGCAGAACACCTAAGCCGCGGGGCGCCCAGGACCCTGCCTTGGGCTTAGACGAGCGGCGCATCCGCTCGCTGTCCGACCTGGTGCTGCCAAGCTGCTCGAGCTTCGAGAAGGATGCGCCTGGGTGAAGGACATGCGGGGGAGCCCTAAATAAGGCCGTAAAAAAAGGGCTTAGCAAGGGCTTACTTATTTGCGGCTTACTTATTTAGGGCTTACTTATTTACGGCTTACTTATTTACGGCTTGTTTACTTAGTGCTTCTTTTTTGGGGGCATATTTATTTAGGCCTTTTTTCCGCTCCCCTCCCTCCCCCCAGGCAACCTGGCCTTCCTAAGGCCTTAGAGAAGGCTCCCTCCCGCTCCCCTCACTCCCCCACGCCCCATGAGAAGGGTGTGAAGGCTTTGTCTTGGTGGAACCTGGGGTAAACTTAGGATACATTTCTCATTTTTCCAGTGACTCAAAGTGAAGCAAACGATAACCGGGCCCAACTCTAATCATGGAACCTGGACGAAGAACGACCCATAGAAACGGGAACTCGCCCAACAAAGAACAAACTTGGAACGGTTTTGTAGCTGGGGGGTCCAGGTACCCTTGAGAAAAGGAGTTCACCAACCTTTTTATTGCAGCAACAGTTGTTTTAAGCGTAGTTTGAGGTTTGAGGGTCCGGAAGCCACAGATATTTGTTTGGCGGGGGGTCTCTAGTTTGAGAAACCTGGATGGACTTTAGACCTGCAAACATGGTTTAGATTTGCACGACCTTTCGGGCCCCTTAGCTTGCCTGGAAAGACCGTTCCGGGTCGGCTGCATCAAGACCGATTTTCCAGTCGATGTACTGCCGGGGTCCCTTTCAAGACTCTTCTCTTGTTGGTGTGTACCTCAAATTTGGACAACATGTTCCCTTTGGGACTGGGGTCGAAAATCGGTGTTCTTCCTTTAGGTTTCCTCTATAACCTGAACATGCCTGAGTGGCCCTGAAGAAAGAAGTATGTTTTGACTCCCCAACGTAAATATCAAGAAACATGTTGGTTCCCATGGTTCAACCAGTAATTAGGAAGCCATCTTCTAACCCAATGGTCAAAGCGCCCAACTATTTGGCCTGAATGCAGGCACCCCCATAGGAAACCATCGGTTCTAGTCTCCAACGCCTACAATGGATGGATGGTTTCGTTTTCCCTTCGCAGGCGAGCCAAGCGTTTTCCCCAAGCCCAAGTTGCTCTTTAGTCTTTGGTCAATCGGCTAATCGGCTTCGGCTTAGTGACCGTGCAGTGAGAGAGTTCCCAAGAGCCCCCCCTTTCAACGAATGGTTCCAGGGGACCCAATATGGATGATGACAATCCTGAAGGATGTAAACACTTGTGGCGAACTATGACACCATTGTTCTAATGGTGGATGGAACCCCAGGATCACTGGTTGCAACATCCCCTTGAACATGTGACTAAGCCCCAGGGTGCAGTCAGGTGTTGCGCACCCTGCGGGCCATGCAGCGGCGGAAGGAGGAGCACCTCCTGCACATGCAGGCGTGGAATCCGGTTTTTCAACTTGCCTTCAGAGCTCCAGCTGGGTATGGGCCAAGTTGTTTTGGCCCTTGCCTTCCAAGTAGCAGGGCAACCCAGTTTGGGTACACCTGGACCCCGTATAGAAAAGGGAATTGTGACAATCCACTGTTCGGGAAGTTCTTGCGGGGTCCATGCGTGCCTATTTTTGTTCCACGCCTAATTTGGTTGCATCCTTGTTTCCAAGTTGTTGAGAGGAAAACCCTCTAAAATCACCTGGCGGCCCCCAAACGGCAGGTTTTAGGTCCAAGGTGCCATGTTGATTACCTTTGTTTAAGCCACAACCGCCTAAAACGCGACTTGTTTTGGAGGGCAACTCTGTGCCCATAGAGCGTTGTGTGGAACATCGGCTTTTGGCTGGCAGTTTAACGTGAGCTTTTGTTGTGGGTGAGGTGATGTACATATGGGTAGCCCTGTTTTGCGGGTGTGGGTTTGGGATTCCAAAGCACCCCAACTGTGAGACCTCCCTCAAGCGGTTGTTCCTGCCTTTGATCCCTTTCTTGTGGAGGGATTTGCCCTTCAAAGCAAACTAGCAAGAAAAGGCCAAGTGGCATCCCCAACAGCAAGCCCTCGGATTCCTTCCGAAATTCTAGCCCGCATCCGCTCCGAACCACTCCGCATGTGCGCCTTCCCCTTACCTACAAACCAAAGACATTTGCCATATGAAACGTTGGCATTGCCAAACCGGTTCGGGCTCGTGCTCGAGCCTCGCTACGAGTGTTTCCGAAGATCTGGACCCAGGCTTTCCCCCCTCCTCCAGGCCTTCTTCGAGTCTTTTTGGGAGAGGGGTTGGGTGATCCTACCTGGAGTCTCCTTCCGACCCCTGAAAAATGGTTGGTCATTACCCAAGACAATGGGGTCATTGACCCATTTTTCAAGGGTCATGGAGACTCCAGGTATGCCAATTGGCAAGCAACACGTGTGGAGCCTTGCGCTGTCCGGTGGAACTTGAGCCAAACCCACCGATGCTGTTTGATCCATTGCGAGTTCCGCCAGGTCAGAGCCTCCATCTTCTTGCTGGACATCGTCCTCGTTTCAGCGAACCGCGTAGATGAAAAGAGAAGCCCCGGCCGCGCGGTCGGTTGGGCTGAAGCGGCGAAGCCGGGGCGCTTTTTCTTAATGCACAGGCTTTGTTTGCTTGTTTGGCCTTGCTTGGGCCGTGGGTTGAAGAGTCTTGCAGAGTTAGAGGCTGAGGGCTGAACTGCAGCCCTGCAAGTTTGTTTTGCAACCAATCCAACCCGAACGTGATGGCCAAGTGATGGCCATGAGCTTCCCAAGTCCCCAGACTTCCACCTTGCCAACGACATCGCCGGTTGGTTTGCCAAATGTCCATGGCTCAAGAGATGAACTGCCCAAAATGGCACATTGGAGCATAGACTAAAACCTGCGGTTTGCCCCAACTGTTTCGTTTTGAGAAAAAGGCGCAACTTGTACTGAGCTTCCTCGTGGATATGTTTCATGATATGTTCCACTGTCAAATGACCCGCCTCACAAGGAGCGCTGTTGAAACTGTCATCAAAAATTCTGGCCCGCAATCTGATGCGTTTTGGTCGGGCAAAAGCTGAGGGGGGGAACCGGGGTTTGGTAGGAACGGTCACCTCTTGATCGCCGTTTTAGGCAGTCAATGGACAGACCATAGAAATCACGACGACCCACAAAAGGAGTTTGACAACGACACATGGTCCTATTCATGAATCTCGAGGGTGGTGTTACTACATTCGAACGAAGTATATATCTTATGCAATTTGCAAACCAATTCGATGTGTCTGGTGGCGTCTGGCGGTGTCCATGTTTCTTGTGCAGTCTCGCATTGTTTTTTCTCCGGAGGCGAGTTTTGCTGAAGACAAAGTGGCCAACTAGAGACCAACATCACAAGCCATTTCTGGCAGGATGGAGGAGGATACCCAATGAAGAGCTCTTCCTTGCTCCCCTGGCACAAGGGAAAAGAGAAATGCCCAGACTATGGAAAAGTTGGCTCAACTGGTTGTGACTCCTTGAACACTATTTGCTGTGTACCAACAGATGCGGGGTTTCCAAGATTTGGGCTTCGGCAGAGGCGTTTGCATCTCAACCCTTGATCAGTTTTCTGGGCACTGATTCGCTGTCAATTTCAGTGACCGAAGTATGTCGGAAGTTGAGGGATTTCTGTTTAGCCCCCCTAGATTTGCGCATGACTGTTTCTAATTGCATCTTCCGCCAAGCACTGTTGAGGTGTCCAATATAATTTCATAGCCATTTGGAGAATGCAACCCAAACAATCTGTGCGATGTGCTTCGAAAAGACCCCTCGAACGGGTTTTGTCTTCGCAAAATGACCCTTCCTCCAAAAGTTTACTTGAAGATGAGAGGCGGCTTTTGGAAAACTAGATTCTCTTTGGGAAGCCCCTTTGCGCCGATTTCGATGATTGTTGGAAACAGTGCGTAACTACCCGCCAGGTGGACGACATAGCCTTGACTACCACGACGACCACGACGACTTTGCTCTTTGCCTGCGCGAAAGAACTAATATGTTTGCCGTCCCTCAAACAACCAATGGAGGGTCTGGGTCTTCCATTGAAAGCCGAAGCCATGAGCCGGTCACATCTTCCTTTTGGGTAAAAATGGTCATAGCCTCCCAGGGGCTAAAGACAACCCATGTCATTCCGAGTAAGGGAAGCCACCATGGGCATGGGTGTCCTTTTTGGTTGATTTGGTCGAACAATAGAGGGCGATTCCTGGTTTACCTGGTGGTTCAGGCCATCTATGTTCCCAAAAAGGACACCTATGCACATGGGGTCCTTTTGCAGGAAGTCCACGTATTCGGTGTGGTAAAATAGCCCAGGCACAGATCGGCCCGGAAGCTCCACCCGGGGGAAGTTTCTCCTCTGGGTTTGCAGGGTTCCCAAAAGGGGACCCATAAAGAATGGCAACCAAGGGGACCAATTTGGATGGCAAAGGGTGGTGACATCTGAACCCCATTGGTTTACAGAAGGGGTGCTCCCTGGGCTGCTGCAAAGATAGTACAACATTGCGAATGCCATGGTTTCGTCTTGCATGTCGTCTTGTTTTAATACATGAACCGCAACCTAGAAACCCACAAATAGCAACGCACATCTTCGTCCCCTATTTGGTGCCATGGACTTTCTTTGGGCGTTTCTAGGCCTTACCACCCCTGGACCTAACCAACCTCCTCAAGACTTGGACGTCAGATCTGTTGCTGGTGGCTGAGAGGGCTACCCCCCTTTTTTGGCGGTTTCAAAGGGAAATGTATTGGAAAACACGCACCCAGTTCACGGCCGTGTTTTTGTTTGTTTGTTTTAAGATTCGGTTTGGAGTCCCTAGGGCATGCACAGAAATTGACGGGTAAATGGACCAGCCTTGGCAGGTGGTTATTGGAACCTAGAACTCTGGTTGGTGAAGTTTCCCATTTCCTAGGGAAGTCCAGCGATCCTCTGAGGTTCGAGGCCAATGTCAGCAATAGCACTGAGAGCAATATCAGCAACGCCACCACCACGAGACAGGCGCCTCGAGAGAACATGGCGGTTTTTCCCAACAAGAAGGGGACTTCCTTGTGTGGAACCTTGGAGACTCCACGTCTAGTTAACATGTTGCTTGCGATTCTGAGTGTCTTGAATGTGAACGAAGGGTGCGCGGCCAACGCCACATGGAGTTTCACCCACCAATGGCTGGGTTAACCCCACTTCAGGCGGCTGAAATAAGTGGGTCATAACCTAGGTTACCGTGGCAACTTGCTAACTGACGAATCAAACATCCAAGATGACTCTTTGGGCATTTCTCGCATATCCGCAGCGTATGTTCGAGAGCCATGCAAACTTTGGCTCGCTGCCTTGAACAAACCGGCAGGCGGTGGTGGTGGTGGCAGATGTGCAGCCAGACGAGGAAAAGGAGTACAAGATCTTTGGCACGACTACCGCACCCAAAGGCACCGCACCGGTTGTTGTCTTACCACCCCCACTGCAAATACTCGCGTTTTTTTCTCAGAAACCACCCAAGTGGTCTACAGGGGGATTTAATAGCTCAAAGTAATTTCGAGAGAAGCCCCCCCCCACATTGTCATGTTCAGTGTTAAATTGCAAGGGGTGTCTCACCCAAACGTGACTTGGAGAGTTCTGAGTGCTCTAAAAACAGGATGTCTTTCCTCGAAAACCCGTCTGACCAGGCTTGTCCAAAAAATGCCCCAAACGAGGAAAGTGGACATTTGGAGCTTCCGGGGGTATCTTTGGGGATTGGACCATTTCTAGTCACAGTAACTTCACTTTTTGGTTTCAATTCACTCGGTGGGCCATGAGCAGCTCCTCTGAGTGATCTGGTTTGGGCGGCCCCGGCCAAAAACTCGGCCACCCACCTGTTGACAAGATACAACACCCACCAATCTGCTGAATGTATGGCGAGCTCACCGATTCGGGGGTAAAACAAGCAACTTTACCTGGGGATTCCTTACTTCAGGTTTTGGACATGTTGTAAAATTTGCAGACCAATGTGCGAATATGTGTGGCCAAGAAACAGGTGCTGTTTTGCGGCGGAGTCGCAGGGACGAAAGCCAAGGGTTGGGAGAGGCAAAATCAAAGCCGCTTCCCCTAGAAAGATTCTAACCCCTTCGATCAGAAGCATTAACTTGAAGGGGCCACCTCCTACACACAATACCCGCTTGTCTCAGGCTTGTTCAGCCCTTTACTGAAAAGGAAGTATCTCTGGAAACCTGGTTTTCCAAAAATACCGCTACTCCAAGGGGGCACATAGGGGCCATACTTACCACAAATAACCCACCTGCAAATGAAAGCCAAGTGCTGAATGAATGAGTTCCCTTTCTTCGGGGTAGTCTAAAGGTCCAGGTGGACTCTGTGAAAGCAACGGGCAAACCCAGCCATTCTCCCCGAGTAACGAGAAACGACAAACCTCACAAAAGCATCGGACCTTTTGCCCCAAAAAGCCTCAGGAGCTTTTCCACGTGCACCCTTCGATCCATGGTCCTTCTGGAGGATTCCCATGGTTCCGGGTAGCATACTTTTGTGGACCCGTTGGCTGGCCAAAAGCAACGTTTTGACCTTTCCAAGGAAGCTCCTGGTTTGATTTATCTTTGGTCTTTTTGGGGTGTCAACAACATCGGTGGTCCTTAAAACCATGGATTCCGCCAACATTGTTTCCAAGATTTCCAGGGGTTTCCCTGTCCTTGCTGAGGTACTTGGGTCCGTGGCTGTTCAACCTACTTAGTAGGTCATATCGTTGTAAGTATAGGGTATCTGGGGGTTGGTTCCCTTACCATGGGTTATTATTATGTATATATGATAAATATGGATTCTGGATATTAAATACAGCCAGAAAGAATGGACTTTGAAGTGAATTCCCTCTCCATGGGTCGTTCTTTCGGGTCCAGTCCGATCGGTACTTCCCTGACCCGCGGGTTGAACAAGTCCAAGCCTCGGCGGGAGGTGCCCAGGGCTTCGAAACCAGCGTCATGAAGGACAACGTCTTCCTGGCGTGGTACAACATGCTCAGCGCCCAGAAGGAGCCCCAGCGAGACGTCGATCTCGTTTTTTTTTTTTTTTTTTTCTCCCCCGTCTTCTTTGTTGTTTGTTCTGTTTTTGTTTTCCCCCCAGAAAGTGGCTGAAAAAAAGCAGCTAGGTCCCCCAGCAATTGGTGCCCTTTCTCTCCCCAACTTTTTTTTGTGGGGAGGGTTTCCCTAAAACAAACTACAGAAAAATGTGGGTACCCATTATTCTAACCGCTCTATTCTTGGACACAGTCTAGTTTCTCTAGGGGTACCTTCCATTTCCATTTTTTCCAGGGTTCCGTTTTTTTCAGGAAAGCAGCAAAAACCCAGGGAAACAGATCCGGTTTTTGAAAAGAACAATGGTTGAAAAGAATGGGGAACCAACCCCTAGAGGCCCTAGAGTTTCTCGCTTTCGAAGGTCGTCGTTTTGCCGGGTGCCTACTTGGATCAACAACCCACGTCAGGCAAGTACCGATCGGAACCAAAAGACCGACCCAACAAATGCACAAAGAACACCGCATAAATGGGTAAAAATCCATTGTTTAGGGTTTTTGTTGAGGGTCCAGGTAGGTTTTAACCATGGTTATATGAGAACCAGCCAGTTACCTTACTTACAACTGTGGTTATAACTTAGCTACTTACTAAGTAGATTAAACATCCAAGCACACAATACCCACTTTTTTTTGGTTAGTATAATGTCAACCCAAAGGGATTGGTATTTGCCCAGGAAACCAGTTTTGACAAAAAAAAATACCAACTGAAAATAAGCCGGGTATTTAAAGTAGGGGGTAACAAGCCTGGGAGTGCCCTGAAGGAAAACTTGACCTTTTTTTTTCCAAGGGTCGCTCGGACCGCAGCTCGGTCGGTCCTTTCCGTAGTAGTCAAAAATCCTGCCTGGTGTCATGGGAGTTTACGAGTACAACTGCGGGCTATTTACTCGAAGGGAAACTAAAAGAGGGTATGTGTTTTTCCACAGCCCCTCATTTGGCACCTAGACAGAGTTCTAGTGATCATGTTGTTACCAAACATTGATGAGCGACTAAAAGCAAACATATCGATCCAGGTGTTTTTCCCGAGCGGTTCCATGAATGATTCTTACATGAAACACATCCGAATTCAGGTTGCCGAGTCGTGGGTGTGGATTTGTCGGTAAGCCTAAGGTAGAGGCGCATACCGATCGCGCCAAAAGGGGACAGGCCGACCCTGCACAACCCCGCAGCTCAATACCGCAGAAGGAGCTTGGAACATAGACTAAACCTCAAGTGTCCACATCTCCCCCCCCCCCCAGCCTTCCGAGTTCCGGCTTGTTTTTGACGTGACGGAGGGCATTTTTAACGTGAGGCGGAGGAGCGCGGAACCGAAGCGAAGCGCGCAGGACCCCTACGTCTGCGAATGGATCTTGGTGCTGCTCTACCTGCTCACCGTCTTGCTCATCGTTCGGCACGCCGCTTGGTTCTTCCAGGCGCGCAAGCGCTTGCGCGCGGATCTGTGTGCTTCGCGTGGGAAGCTTACAGAGGCAAAGGCGGCTGGCAAAACCGGGGTCACGTTCAAAAGGGCTTCCCCAAGAGGGCGGGGGGAGATCATCTTTCTTTTTGGTGTGGGTCTGCCTTTTTGAGGCTATCCTTTTGTTTTTTGTAGGTGTTCGAGGCAAACCAAAAGGACAGCCGCCGTTTTGGGGGGGTAATCCTAAAAAGCGGAGCCGATTTGAAGTGCGCTCCCAACTGGCTTGGGGATGTCTCCAGGCCCAGGTCCTCTTGAAGCCGCCAGGGTCCCAGAAGAGATGCACCTGGAAGTCTCAAAATGGCTGGAAAAGTGAGTTGCGCCCCCAAATTTTGGAGTTGCTGGATTCCGATTTGGAGTAGTGTTTTTGTTTTGAGGATCCTTTTTGTCTTTTGGGTTTTCAAAGGGAAACCAGCAGGAAGCCCAGATTTTGTGTGGATCTACAAGAATACACCTGGACCCCCCAATTTCTCTTAGGTGCCAGCCCCAGCAAGTATGGTGAAATCCCTCTTGCATGGCGAAGGAGCGTATTCCTCCATTCTTCATAGCCATATGGGGTGACACCGCAAGCTTCACAAGTTGTGTTTTTTGCCTTTGGCTTCCCTTTAAACCAACCTCAACAAGGGCACCAACTCCAACAACGGTCTATGTTTTTGGGGTCGTTTCTTCGGGTGGCCCTCGCTAGCATCTGCCAGGCGCTGCGACTGGACGATCTTCTGGACTGGCTCTTTCCCAGCCTCAAGGCCGCGGGAAAGTCGGGGAAGTCGGGAGTCGAAAGTCGGCACTAGGGTTCGGGTCAGGGACGGCCCGTTGATTTCGTGTATTTGTTGTTTTGTTTGGGGGGGGGTCGGTGTGAGAAGGATCGCTGAGTACTTGAGCTTCACTTTATCCCTCCCACCTACTCCCACGTAGAAACATAGAAACAACTGTCACATTGAGCTCACCACAACTGTTACATTGAGCTTACAACTGTCACATTGAGCTTACAAATGGAGAGAACCATGGAGACCATTGGGCATTCTCCCTTTTTGTGGCATTCTCCCTTTTTGGTTTCAAGGTTGGAATCTGTCTCTACTGAAGAAATGGCCATGGGTCATAACCTATGCCTGCATGTTTTGGGGTGGATGAACACCCATGTACCACCTTTTTGGGTTTCCTGGGCTTTGACCCGCCAAATCGGTTTCTTTTCTTCCGTGTGGTTTTCCCCAGAAACGCGTCGATTTCGCTCGCAGATGGGACGTCTAGGCTGAAGAGCAAGAGCGCCCCCCTCCAAACCACCTGAAACTCAAACCTTCAACCCAAACCAAAGGGAAAAAACCGGCCCCTCCACACAACCAACGCCAACTAAATGAACCCAGCGGCCCCAAACATCAACCCAAAGCAAAGGGGAAAAGCGGCCCCTCCACACAACCAACGCCAACTAAATGAACCCAGCGGCCCCAAACATCAACCCAAAGCAAAGGGGAAAAGCGGCCCCTCCACACAACCAACGCCAACTAAATGAACCCAGCGGCCCCAAGCATCAACCCAAAGCAAAGGGAAAAAGCGGCCCCTCCACCCTCCACACAACCAACGCCAACTAAATGAACCCAGCGGCCCCAAACATCAACCCAAAGCAAAGGGGAAAAGCGGCCCCTCCACACAACCAACGCCAACTAAATGAACCCAGCGGCCCCAAACATCAACCCAAAGCAAAGGGGAAAAGCGGCCCCTCCACACAACCAACGCCAACTAACTGAACCCAGCGGCCCCAAACATCAACCCAAA